AAAAAAAAAAAAAAAAAAAAAATATATATATATATATATATATAATTGTGTTTTTTTATTGTATTTTTTAATTGTATTTTTATTGTTTTTTATTACAATTAAGCACATTTCTCCTCTATTACAATAACTGTATTGTCAAAAAATAATAAAAAATGTAAGTAAAATAACTGTCTTACTGTAATGAAAATCTCATGAGACTGAACACAATTTAATGTCTTTAGGTTGAAGTGGTCCCAGTTAAGTGGGCCATTCATGACGGCCTTAGAAATCCGCTGCCCTCTCTGAATGTCAATGTCTCGAGTCTTTATCCTATAGGCTTTGAGTTCACCAGGTTCACGGGGAGCATATTGCCCAAGTCAGCTGAGCAACAGCTGATGAAATGCACTGAGCTGATCTTTTCTCTCTTTTCTTGATCCCACAGACGAATCGCTGACCTCCAAAACCAGCCTGTTTTTCGTGATCTCCAACGAGGGCAACCAGAACCTGTATGTGTCCCAAGCCAGCCTGTGGTTGTACTTCAAGCTTCTGCCTAACGTTTTGGAGAAAGGCTCGAGGAGGAAGGTCACGGTGAAGGTTTACTCGCAGGAACCAGGACTCGGGAGCAAGTGGAACTTGGTGGAGAAGCGCGTGGATCTCAAACGCAGCGGATGGCACACTTTTCCATTGACGGACGCCGTGCAAATGGTTTTTGCCAAAGGCAATCGCCGGCAGAACCTGGATGTACGGTGTGAAGTGTGCGATAAGATGGGCGTCATGCCTGTTTTGGTGAACACGGCCGACGAATCCCACCATCCATTCCTTGTGGTCCAAGCACGAGCGTCCGACAACAAACACCGCATCCGCAAACGAGGCCTTGAATGCGACGGCAGCAGCAGCTTGTGTTGCCGCCAACAGTTTTACATCGATTTCCGTCTCATCGGCTGGAACGATTGGATCATCGCCCCGTCAGGGTACTTTGGGAATTATTGCGAAGGGAATTGTCCGGCGTACATGGCCGGGGTTCCTGGATCGGCTTCGTCTTTCCACACGGCCGTCGTGAACCAATACCGCATGCGAGGAATGAGTCCGGGATCCATGAACTCCTGCTGCATCCCAACCAAACTCAGCACCATGTCCATGCTGTACTTCGACGACGAATACAACATCGTGAAACGGGACGTGCCCAACATGATCATCGAGGAGTGCGGCTGCGCTTGAGACTTCCAAAATATCATAGTAAGAAACTAATATTTATGACTCATCCGTGCTCACAAATCCACATGCACGCCCCATCTCTTCCACGCATCTTTGTACAGATATTTATGTTCTTTAATCATCGAGCAATTTAGTTCCAGTCTACAGGTTTGTACGATTCTGTCACGTCAAAGGGATGGGATTGCTTTTATCTCTGTTTACACTTTTAAAAACAAAGCTTCTTTATTGGCATCAATGGTCATCCATTATACAAGAGGTTCTTTAGATTACTAAAATGTTCTTTACACTGGTTCTTTTAAAGAGATAGTTCAGCCAAAAATGAAAATTTGCTGGTAATTTACGCACCCTCAGGCCATCCAAGATGTAGGTGACTTTTTTCCTCAGTAGAACAGTGAAGAAGATTTTTAGCTGAAACCGTGGTCCTTGGTGATCCATAAAATGCAAGTCAGCGGCTGCCAGCACTTTGAGAATTAAAAAAGCATATACAGGCAAAACAAAATTAATACCCGTGGCATCTGAAGATATATTGAGTTCTTATGAAGTGAAGCAATCGGTCTGTGCAAGAAACTGAACATTTTTACAACATTATTTCCTGTAATCCAGAGCCTCAGGCAAACTGGGAAATACGATTCTTTTCCACGAACTGGTTCATTTCAATGAACTGATTCAATTCAGTAGTTCATTTACGTAATGATGCAATGACATCATGTATACGAAATTATATTATTAAAGCACCAAATAATGATGTGAAACGTGGATGTTTTGCATGTCTAAAGCATATAAAGTGAATAAACTAGTCTTCATCAGCTCAACTTTTTACATAAACAATGAGAAACCATATAAACATTAATTTCACCCCTTCATTCAAGTGTTTGGTTCATGCATGCACATATCAGCGGCCCATCTGTCTTTGGTCCAAATCGAACTGTTTCATCAGTTCAGGGACTGTTGGAGGAACTGGAGCTCTGAATCAGTTCATTCATCATAGGATCAGATACAATGCTATTTCGGCTAATTTTGAGTTGGAGTGACTGACAGGCGTCCGAAAGTTCAGTTCAATCTGGTGAATTGATTGAACTAACTCACTAAAATGAACCGGTTCAAAAGAATCATTCATTCGTGAACTGGACATCTCTCTGGACCGTTTGCCTGAGGCTCTGGATTACAAGTAATAATGTTGTAAATAATGTTCACAGACTGATTGTTTTGCTTCATATAAGAGCTCAATATATCATCAGGAGCCACAGGTTTTAATTTTGGGTTCCTTGATATGTCTTTTTTTAATTCTCAAAAACGGGCAGCCGCTGATCTGCATTGCTTGAATTACCAAGGACCACGGTTTCAGCTAAAAAATCTTCTTTACTGTTCCACTGAAGAACAAAAGTCACCTACAGGTCATCTAGGATGGCCTGAGGTTGAGTAAATTAACAGCACATTTTCATTTTTGGGTGAACTATCCCTTTAAGAACTGTTGACTGAAAGATTTTTTGGGGAACCAAAAATGGATCTTTTATGGCATCGCTAAGAAAGCCCCCTTTTGAAACCTTTACTTTTAAGAGTGTAGTTTGGTTCTTCTCTTTAAAAATGGAAAGAGGAGGGGTGATCTTCTCAAAAGACTTTTATATCTGTGTACCTTCCCGAAAAGCACTGACCATCTTCTCAAAGCAACGCCAGCACTTCCCACATTGAGTCCATTGAGTGACAACCAATCCATTTGAGAGCATCCATCTTCAACGATCATCTGCAAAGAGCTACAACAATCCTTGGGTTTCTCGACAGACATGAGATCCATTCATAAATCATGAGGTGTGTTTTGTTATGTCTCGGTTGTTATTATTCATGCAACAAGCCGAAGACACGCTTCTGAAACACAAGCGAATCCAGTGATCTCATAAATTGCCAAACTCTTCAGTTACATCATGGTGCAGCATAGCACTTGCAAAAAATATCGAAAATGCACAATATAAAGCACTTGCAGACTTAAAAATGCCTTCGAAGGTACCAAGTGGCGCGCCTCGTTCACGATTCCTCTGAAATAAGTGCCGCACAAGCTATGCAATGTATAGTAGTGACCTACACCGGATGACCCACTTGTTATGAACCGCTTTCAATACTTGAAATGTAAACTTTCGCTTCCTACTCTGAGAGGATGGTTGTTACAATGTTTGCACTGAAGTTGCATTATTAGTAAAGAAAAAGCCTGCCATTGAAAAAAAAAAAAAGTTATTTTTATAGAAGCTGAAACTGAATTCTGTTCAAATGTATTATACCGAATTATGGAACCAAAGAGGCCAAGATTTTAGCTATTGTGATTCTTTTGTAAAAATACTTTTTAAATGCGCAAGAGGCCTAAACAATGTATCAGGGTACAACAGAATGGATTCCATTTTCAAGTTGTTGTTTTGTACAGTAGATAAATGGAATATTTCATATTTTTCCATCAACTTTAATTGTTTTATGTTTTTTTTCAGTTTTCTATTTAATACTTCTGTAGCGTCTATTCCGGAATCATTTAGAGTCAAATACATGCCATCTCTGTACATCTTATGTAAGATAAAAATGCTTTTAAATATTTTGTTCTTTGTAACTGTTATGAAATAAATTTCTTATACTGCATCAAAATCGACTTTTGTTACTTTTACATTAATGTTTATGCATTTAATAATAATAATAATAATTCATTACATTTATATAGCGCTTTTCTAGGCACTCAAAGCACTTTACATTGTCAGGGGGTATCTCCTCATCCACCACCAGTGTGCAGCATCCACCTGGATGATGCGACGGCAGCCATAGTGCGCCAGACCGCCCACCACACACCAGCTTATTGGTGGAGAGGAGACAGAGTGCAGATGCTTTTATCCATTGCATTCAAGGTATGCACTTTATCAGTTCATGCATTCCCTGGGAATCAAACCCATGACCTTGGCGTTACTCGCGCCCAGTTTGTGGGTTTCATTCCCAGGAAATGCATGAGCTGTTGTGTTAGATTTAGTTCTCTTGAACACATGGGATGAAAACGGTGCTTTATTCGCAAATGTTTTATGCAATCGTCCAATTTTTAGCACATTTTCTGGGTGTTGAACCCATTAGTATTACTAGTGCCAAGGCCATGGGTTCGATTCCCAGGGAATGAATGAGCTGTTGTGTTAGATTTTGTTCTCTTGAACATATGACATGGGATGAAAACAGTGCTTTATTCGCAAATGTTTTATGCAATAGTCCATTTTTTAGCACATTTTCTGGGTGTCGAACCCATTAGTATTACTAGTACCAAGGTCATGGGTTCGATTCCCAGGGAATGCATGAACTGTTGTGTTAGTATTTCTAAAAAGATACTGTATTTGCTAAGGCAAGCTACAGTAGCTATGTTTGCATCCACTTATTTATGTAAAATTTGGGATATTGCATAAACACTGGATGGAAATGACAAGATGCTCATAAAATGATTATTTTTTTATTAGGCAAGAACGCATGCATAGTCAAGTCAAGTCACCTTTATTTATATAGCGCTTTATACAAAACAGATTGTGTCAGCTTTACAGTGTCAAACAGGAAAACAGTTTGTCAATAATGGACAATAACAAAAAGTCATTTTTCAGTTAAAGTCAAAAATTATGATGGAAACACATTTACTGAACAAGTTCCTGGATGCAACAACAATCTTGTGACTTTGCCTCAGCAGATCATGTGATTAGATATCTGGACTAACCAGCATTGCACACCATCTGAAATATTGTTTTAGTTGTGCTGAAAAAGTCCATCATCAAAATGATTTGGTATAATTACCTCCTAGAACGGTTTCAAACAATTGTGTTCCCAAACATCAGGCTGCAAGATAACATGACAGCATTTGTTATTGAATTTCATCTGAATTAAGTCATTTATTTAAAAAGAGGCTTGTGCTTCTCTGGTTGCAGCAACTTCTTATTATTTTATTACTGATACTTTGAACCATTTTCCCAGGAAGATTTTGCTCTCTTGAACACATGGGATGAAAACGGTGCATTGTTTGCTAATGTTTTATGCAATCATCCAATTTTTTGCAAGTTTAGTTCGCAACTTTGGATGGAAATGTATGTTATGGCTAGCTGAACAAAGCTTTAACCCTAAATAATAAATTGCAGTGTGTATTTTGCAAAGTTTGTGCTACAAACAAAAAGTCAAAGCCAATATATGTGACCCTGGAGCACAAAAGCAGTCTTAAGTCGCTGGGGTATATTTGTAGCAATAGCCAACAATACAGTGTATGGGTTAAAATTATCCATTTTTCTTTTATGCCAAAAATCATTAGGATATTAAGTAAAGATCATGTTCCATGAAGATATTTTGTACATTTCCTACCATAAATATATCAAAACTTAATTTTTGATTAGTAATATGCATTGCTAAGAACTTCATTTGGACAACTTTAAAGATGATTTTCTCAATATTTTGATTATTTTGCACCCTCAGATTCCAGATTTTCAAATAGTTGTATCTCAGCCAAATATTGTCCTATCCTAACAAACCATACATCAATGGAAAGTTTATTTATTATGCTTTCAGATCAGAAAAAAAAGATTACATTTTAATAAAAACAAAAACACATGACAAACAACCAATTTCAGATGTAATAACAAATATGCAAATATTATAATACATTTTAACGTTGGTTACAATTGTTCAGGAAACGATATAATGCATTATTTTGTAAATTATGAATATACAATGCAAAACAATTTTTCCACCTTTTCCATTTCATCTGTCAAGTTCCAGCTAGAAGAAAACAACAGCAACAACATACAAGCATCATAAAAATAAGTTTATACAACTTGTGCACTAAGTCTTCTCAAGTCTTACAAGGATCAGACCTAATTTTAAGTTGTAAAATCAGATGAAAATTTTCCAGTCAGCTGCTAATCTCAAATCTGGGTTGCGTCGGGTTTGACGTTAATGATGTTTGTTTGTGAGACACACGAGAACCAATATTTGATGTCACTGACGTCACAACTGCACTACTGACACCACATGTGAGAGTTGCAATATAGTGCACAAGCTGTATGGACTATTTTGTTGCATTTTCTTGTTTGTTTTTTTGGACAAACTGAAGGAAGTAAACCCCAAACTGTCTTTACCACAAGTCATGACAGATTTTCTACTCGAGTCCAAACTGAACAACACTGACCATGTCACTTTAAAGCTCTGAACATCCCAGATCCGTCACCACTGCAATTATGGCATACGCTCACATTAGCG